TGTGTGTGTGTCAACCTGGGTAGAGTGCTGAGTGCCATACGGTCATCATAGCTCATAACAACCTCAAACTCTTGGGCTCAAGCAATTCTCTTGCCTCAGCCTCCCAAGTAGCTAGGACTACAGTTGTCCACAGCAACACCTGGTTAGCTTTTCTATTTTTAGTAGAGACAGGGCTTTGCTCTTGCTTAGGCTGGTTTCAAACTCCCAAGCTCAAGCAATCTACCCTCCTCTGCCTCCTAGAGCGCTAGGATTACAGCATGAGCCAAAGTACAGCGTGAGCCACTGTGTCTAGCTGCTTTAGATACATTAACTCATTTGGTCCTCATGCTTCTCATATAGGTCCCATTATTATCCCTGACTATAAGGAAGAAACCAAGGCACAGAAAGATTACATAATCATCCAAAGAAATAAATCTGCTCAAAAAAAAAAAAAAAAAGAAAGAAAGAAATAGGGCAGCACCTGTGGTTCAAAGGAGTAGGGTGCCAGCCCATATACCAGAGGTAGTGGGTTCAAACCTGGCTCTGGCCAAAAAAAATAAAAAAGAAAGAAATCTGCTAAGTGGAAGGGTAAGAATTTAAATCCAATAAGTCTGACTTTGATACTAGCACTCTTTACCACTACACCATACTACTGATAGCTCTCTCAAGAAGGACTCTCAGAAGGACTTCAAAAATACTACTTATTCCATTTATGTAATATCTCTAAAAATAGATAAATCTACAGAGAATAGAAAGTAGACAGGTGGTTTCCTAGGGCTGGAAGGAGAGGGGATGGTGGTAAGAGGAAGATAATGTACTATGGTATTTCTTTTTGGTGTGACGAAAATGTTTTAAAATTGATTATCGTGATAACTGTATACTCTGAGAATATACTAAAAATCACTAAGTTTTACACTTTGCATGGGTAAATTGTACAATATGTGAATTGTATTTCAATAAAGCTGTTGTTTTTTTTAAATGCCATTTCAGGGTGTACCTGTGGCTCAAGGAGTAGGGTGCTGGCCCCATATACTGGAGGTGGCGGGTTCAAACCTAGCCCCAGCCAAAAACTGCAAAAAAAAAAAAGATAAAATTCCATTTCACTATTTCACTATCAATTTAGCAAAGACTGAAACTGAAACTTCTTTTATTTTTTTTTAGAGAGACAGAGTCTCACTTTATCGCCCTCAGTAGAGTGCCATGAGCTCACACCAACCTCCAGCTCTTGGGCTTCGGTGATTCTCTTGCCTCAGCTTCCTGAGTAGCTGAGACTACAGGCACCCACAACGCCCAGCTATTTTTTTGTTGCAGTTTGGCTGGAGCTGGGTTCAAACCTGCCACCCTCAGTATATGGGGCCGGCGCCCTACTCACTGAGCCACAGGCGCTGCCCAAAACTTTTTTTTTTAAGAGACAGGGTCAGGGTCTTGTTCTGTCACTCATTTGGCATTTCTGGGCTCAAGAGATCCTCCTGCATCAGCCTTCCAAATAGCTGGGACTACAGGAGTGCATCACCACCTAGCTATTTTTTTTTTAAATTTTTTGTAGTGATGTGGTCTCACTGTGTTGTACAAGCTGGTCTCAAACTCCTGGGCTCAATCAGTCCTCCCATATGGGCCTCTCAAAGTGCTGGGATTATAGACACAAGCTATCACACTTACCAGAAACTTTTTTTCTTCAATCAAAACACAGAAGCCCCTCTGAAAAAGGTCCCTCAGATCATAGGGTTCTTGAACTCACTGGCCTCATACAGTTCACGGAAGTAAGTAGCCAGTGTGTTCAACCACGGCTCCTCCTACATGATGATCATGTGGTATGACAGGAAGAGATGTTCTCCCATTTTTTAAATTATCAAAGGCACAAAATATTTTGTAAGCTGCCTTTATCAATGCAATTCAAACAGACACTGCAAAGCTAAGCAGGGCAAAATGTACCAAATATAACCAATCTTTACTCAAAGATTTGAGAAAAAAAGCTTAAATATTCTTCCTGAAAAGCAACAAACAACTCTGAAATACTACTACATTAGCATGAACACAGGTATAGAGTGTTTCCGGAAATGTTTAAATTGTAGTGATTACTATCCTTGAGTACCCACCACAGTATAAGCCTCAAAAATACCTACATCCAGATGATGTTAATGGTAAACAAGCAGAAAAAAATTTTGACAAATATTTAGCAGAAGGGAAGCCATCCTTTGAACTTAGGTGCCTAAAGATAAAAGTCATCCAAATGGAATAAGAAATTGAAACCCCAAAACAAACCAAAGTTTTTTTCTAAAATCCTAAGAATCTAAGATGTAGTGGGAACAGAATCATGGGTACTTGGAAAACCATTCCACTGGGAATCCCAAAAGTATTTTTCTCATCTGTATAGTTTTTCAAACAGTATAAAATGTTGCTTTACTTTAAGTGGATACCATAGAAACAACCTACGACTTTCCTAAAAACTGCTTACTATGCCTGGATTTCCTACCATAGCAATAAAAGCTATTTTGGGAAAATTTAAATCCATTTCAAAGTTGATACAGTAATCCCAATTTCTATTTAGTAAACACATAAAAGAAACAAACTGTTTGGATAACCACAATTGAGAATAGTGATTTCAAATAAGTATAAGATCCATAGTCTCTTGTTGTCTAGATCAGTGGTTCTCAATCTTCCTAATGCTGCAACCCTTTAATACAGTTCCTCATGTTGTGGTGACCCCCAACCATAAAATTATTTTCATTGCTACCTCATAACTATAATTTTGCTACTGTTATGAATTGTAATGTAAATATCTGATATGCAAAATAGTCTTAGGTGACCCCTGTGAAAGGGTCATTCATCCCAAAAGGGGTCACAACCCACAGGTTGAGAACCACTAGTCTAGATTAATGCTCAGCTGTTAAGATGGCAAGGTGCCTTCTTTCAAGATCTTTATTGACTTTACTTGTACACACATAAATACCAACCTGTACCACACGTAAGTACCATACTTCACCATACAGTCATCTTTATTGACTTTACTTGTATACACATAAGTACCAACCTGTACCACACATAAGTACCATACTTCAGGTCACCTGAACCATACTTCATTTGATGTACAGCATATAACAAAAAGGCATTAAAAAATCTGTAAATCATTTATATGTCTAAAATACTAAAAATAATTTGGTTTACAAGAATTTCTTGATTTTAACTTCCAAAAAGAAAATTGTACATGCAGACACTAACTATAAAACTAGATATTAAAAAAGCCATCTAAATACCATAGAATTAGTTTCTTAGCCTTGATGTTTGGGTGGGGGAGACCTTCCCTCTATCCTCTTAGGTTCAGAAACTGAGGCCTGTGAATTAAACTGACAAAAAACAGATTAACAAAAGAAAAAATTTATTTCACATGCACATGAAGTCTACATGGAAATAAAGTAAAAACCCAAAGAGATGGTTAGACCTGGGTGCTTTATATACACTATTTTAACAAGGGGAGATAAACCACAGAGAAGTGACTACATAAATGAAAATGGGTTTGGACTTCTCTATGGGAAGGTAAATATATGTGGTAGAAACTAATGAAAGATAAGGGCTATTTTATTAGTAACATTTATTCATGCAGACTGAAGCTAGTACTATCTCCAGGGATAAAGTCTCTGGTGATTCAGAATCACTCTCTTCTTCCTGGTATAGGAAAGGGGAGGAAGGACACCTTCACAAAGGGATATTTATGTCCTGCTTTTGGACATACATGGGGAAGATGAAGGGCTCTTTTTGCATTTGCTGCTTTCCAGTTGCCTTCAGCTCAAAATAATCCTTGGGCCAAAGTGGTATATTTGGGGTTAGGATATTCTAATTTTCTTCATGCTCAGGTAGAAGCAGAAGAGTGAAAGAAAGTGCCATAATAACTAGCTATGATCAGGAAAAGACGAGCATACAGTATTAATTTACTAGGACTTCAATCATAGAAAGTCAGTTCCATACAACTCAGCTTACCTAGAGTCCTGGATATCCAATCCAACACACAATATTCAGAATTGTATGTGTAGATTTTATCAGAAAATGTTAGCTGAAATGAGGATAGATCCTATAAAACCTCTCTATCACTATTTCACTAATAAACAAACAAATACTAAAAGATCCTAATAATTCCAGGTCAAAACAAACACCCTACCAGAGCACATACTTCACCTAAGCTGAGTTCCAAATACACAGGAAAAAATTCTAGAACCATTTATACAGAAAGGAGAAAATGCTTAAAAAAAAAAAAAGAAAGAAAGAAAGAAAGAAAAGAAAAGAAAGAAATTTAATATCAAATCTCCCAAATCACACTAACCGAACTAAATTAACAGGATATTAGAAGTAACTAAAAAAAAAAAAAAAAAAAGGAACTGCAGTGTCTCTGTTTTACAGGGTTGTAACTGTGTGTGGCCCAACAAGCTGCATGCTCTGGTCACTGTAAGCCAAAAAGCTGTTTTCAAAGTGAAACACAGAGGTAACCCAAAATATGTCAACCATTAGGACCACACAAAGGGAGTGTTTGAAAGAGACCAGGAAAACCAAGCTTAACAACAAGCAAACACTCACAAGGTTTTCCTACACACCAAGCCCTATTCTAAACCATATGAACTACCACAAATAATTGATAGCCATGCTTCCTAATCAGATTTGCCCTTTTTTTTTAAGTTCACAGCTTTTACAGAATTCCTAGCAAACTCCACATTCTGAATAGAAGGAATATTATGTAATACATAGTTCCCAAACATATCTCAATGTTGCTGATATTCAATCTCTTTACTATTTCAATAGTTTATTGCTCTTTGTCACACAATAACAGCTATTTTAAGAACTGAACCAACTAAAACCAACAATGCCATGACTAGGCATCATTAAACTAGGAATCAAACTCACTGATCTGTTTGGCAGATTGAGAAATTACATTTTCATTCTAATATGCAATGTCAATCAATTTTCACATAATAGGAGTATGACCAGTAATTTTAGTACAAAATTCAACACAAACACCACAAGAAAATAGTTACCTGAATTTGAATCTGGAAAAGACAAATAGCAAATATTGGTTTTCTGAAAAAGAAAACAAAAGCTATATATGCTGACACACACACACATAACCAATAAAAACAAACAGAAATATAACAGTAGAGTATAACAGAGTGATATTTTTACTCACTTCTTTGTCAGTAAGTTTGGAATGTTGAGGATAAATTACCTGGAAGAAAAGAGTTAAATTTTATTAGACATATTACAAACATTAGTAATGGAATACTACTAGTTAGCTTTGACCAAATTGTTTCAAGAAATAGTTCACAGATGAATAGACTAAAAAATGTGGTATTTATACATAATGGAATATTATTCAGCCATAAAAATAAAAACAATGGGCTCGGCGCCTATAGCTCAACCGGCTAAGG